TTCCATCAATGGAAATCAAATTAACATGACAAAGGGCAGATCGAAAGTGGAGCGCATTGACTGAGATGATAATCGATGGCTTTCCACGTTCAGTTCCTAGATGATAATGAATTGTCCCTCGAAACATGTACTGTAGGTGGAGGGCCCTTGGGAAAAAAACTGAGATATGATGTTGTGAACAGATTATAGTTAAGTTTGCCTATTGATCCCACTCTGAGGAATTTCCCTGTTCCCGATGACTCGGTAGAATAAATTGTGTACTTATACCTTTCTCCAGTGTCTCTGCTTCTGGGTCCACCAGTAACTTAGATCACTCTTTCGGCTGAAAGAAGGTAACAGAACCCTCTGACCACCATGGACTCAGCAGACACAGATTCAGCGGAGCACTGGGCACATCAGGGAAAACTCTTGGGGAAACATGTACATGTACAAGTACAGCTCAGAAAGGTAATCGAAGCCATGAAAAATGAAACGGCATATTTTTTACAGTACCATTTTTGCAGGGTGCAGACTTTTTCTCAAGAGCCCCACATGCCTGTTCCTAAGAGGTATGTTTTTTTCAGACTCATTTCTTTCCCCATATTTTGTTTATTTCACACATTTTAAATATAACTGTTTTTACCACCTTAAACTTGTCGATGTTATGCTAGCAATGCCAACTTTGGAAAGTTGGCAGGAGTGACATTTTGTGTGCGTAGAGGAGGGAGGAGGGTCACGCTATGCGCCGCCGCTACTGCTGCTCCAAACAGATCAAACAAGCAACAGCAAAAAAACAAGAGTGAGAATTAAAAAATAATGGCCCCATTTGCAATATTATTATCAGATATTTTCATTTTACTGCGCCTTTAACCCTTATCCCAGTCTGTTGTTTAACATTTACAGCGTTGGGGAATGTGCTGCCTTACGTTCAATTCATTCATTCCATCTACGTCATGCCCGAAATGGCACTGTGCCTTACAACCCCTAGCACCCCCCCCCCAGGCGGTGCGCCCCCCAATTTGGGGACCACTGCATTAATGTGTGATCATGTCAGTGAAAACAATTAAGACTAAGTACAGATGGCATTTACTATCTGAGTTTTCGGCGCACCATCTTGAGTGCGAAATGCCTTCCCGCACCTTGGTATCCTCTCAGCCCTCTTATCACCTGCTGTAATTGGTCCTCTCAGGCCCCTCTGGGACCCAACTCCTTCCTAATAAGCCCAAGGTGCATTGGCAACTCTATATCTGATCTTTTAGTGGCAGACAAGTAAGGGCAAGGCAAAGACCCTAAAGACTCCTTAGCACCCCCTCAGTTCCAGAAATACACAAAGGATGAAGTCACTAACAATTCCGATAATAGAACGGTTGGTCCTGTAGCTTTTTTGAACCACATTAAACCACGAAATAATTAGTGCTACCTGATAATGGTCCAAAAGGCAAATCTCCCAGATCGTACCTATCAAGGTGATCAATTTGTTGCTGTGCCAGGATTGTTTTCTTCCTTGGGGCTTTTATCACACTTCCACCTTCCAAACTCTCTTAAAGATTTCCCATTGTCTGCAGACAGTGGAAGCTGAGGGCAGGAAGAGGTCCATCAATCACAGAGCAAGCCTTTTTGAAACGCCTGTCCTCACCGACAGAGGAAATGCATCTGTGAAGGTGCATGTTGAGTAATAGCCTCATTTTACTAGAGTGAGTATTGATGATGGTGCCAAAAGAGTTTAAAGTACTGACTCACATAACCTGGCTGGGTGGAGGGGTATGAGTAGAAGGAAGTGGGGNNNCACAGAGCCGGTAATGTTTGTCATGATTGACTTTTATGATTATGTGCTACTGCACATCACATGGTTTGCAGCAGCAGCGGGAGCAGCAAATCAAATCCATTCTTTTGAAGGCTGGACTATGTAGTAATTACAGTTATAGGTTAGCTGTATGTGCTTTATTGAACAGGATCAGGTGTTGATTAAAACTGTAACATTATACTCCTACCATATACCACCTAGGTATTAACAGTAAGAGACGCCAAAATGCACAATAATACTGGACCTAAAGAGGTCATTACACCTCCATTTGCCAATAAATCCCTGAGATAGGGATAGGGTGCATACGATCATGAAAAATCTAGAAGCGTTTTGGAAATTGAAAATGCATTTTTCTAGGTCATAAAACATAAAGAAAATGCCGAACTGTGCGGTTCAAATTTAAATTGGCATGGGAGTACAGAGTAAAGCTATGTTTTAGAGATGCAATAGTGCACGTTCGTATAAAACAAATAAGCGGAACACTGGCGAATCAACCACCCAGTCACTCTCCTATGCTATTGGGCCGATAATATCAGACAACCGATATTATCCCTTTGATGCATGAGCCATGATATACTGAGTTAAAAAAATGTTACTGTGTGTTTTTATGTGTTTTTAGACATAAAAATAAGAACTGATTTGATTCTGTTTTTATACACCAAATTTTCTTCTTGAATGTTGACACAATTATTCTGCAGTTGCAAAGGCTGACCACTGTATGGCAGTGTTGGGTGATTCTCGGGCGTCCACTGTAGAGGCTTATATATGCAACACTGCCATCAAAACCTATTCTTATCATAGAAAATGACATTTTCATAGCTGTCCACTGAAGTGACCGTCATGCATGAAAGGGTTAATGTCTTGATGTCAGCATAATGTCTAATATCTGTAAGAGTCTTTATCGGTTTTCCATTGATGATAAAAACTCGATAACGCAATGCCTGGGTTTCGGAAAATATGCTGGAGGACTGAGATGTTTACCGCGGTTTTGGGGGGAAAACGGCAGTATGTGTCAGAATCAGAAATTAAGTGCTTAGACAATAATGGCATATTGGATAGTAGCAAAAATGTACCATATTTATGTACTGTATTGTACATCCCTAGTCTTAATGCTTAAGGGAAGACTGGTTGGAATGTTCGTGGGACGTTTGCGGTAAACCTGTAAAGAATGTATTAATCATTTTGGATATCTGTGAATCTGGTTATTTCAAGAATAAAACTGAATCTTGAAAACTTTCTCAGAGAGATCTCGCAGACAACTCAGTTCCATATGACCTCTGCCATGTCACATGGCTAGTACTTGGAACATCAGTTACCGTAAGGAAGTGACGATCATAAGATAATGTTCCATTATCGATAGATAGACATTTTAAGGCCTTTATTGCAACAGTGAGATAAAAAAATATGATAAGAAGTAGTTATTGTTGGCTATGAAAGACCGTATCTATCTATATAAATAGATATGAATTTACAATAGTGAACGGGTAAATTAAGGTAAAAAACAATGTTTAGAGTAGGTTTTGTTAGTGTGATTTTATAAAGAGACCAAAAGACCCGTGTTTTCCTTTTATGAAGGTTACACTAAAGAAAAGATTGGGCAATTTTAATATACTGTACCTAAGGGTAAAATCACACTAGCACGCCACTGACAAATGAGTAAAGTCCAGTTATCTTTGCAGTCATTTTTTGCAGTGATAAGCTCATCACCATTTTTATGGGTCAACAATCAGATAAGAACTCACAAAATGGATCAGGAAATAATTATACACGGGGTTGTGTAAAAGTTGTCACTTAGAATTGAGAAAAAAAAAAAGTCCTAACCTGTTAGAAATTGTATAAAGATCTTGCCTTTCAAATACTTAAATCCAAACCACTTGTAACTTGTAAAAATTTTTTCAGTGTCTCTAGAGATTTTGTGTCAATGTGTTGTACAAATGACATGAGAAAAAGGTCTTGTGACATCTCTCTTTCCCCTCTTTTCTTTCCCCCTTCGCTGTGTCTTGCATTTTTCACCTTTTCTTTTTGTGCCAAGACAGACTAATAATGTTTGGGATATTCCAATATTACAATTTAGTGATATTTTAGACTGAGACTTATTTTTTCTAGAAACAAAGCTGCACTGTCATTGCAGCGACAAATCTTGCTGACAGTAGAGGGACATGTGTATAAAAGGTCCTAGAATAGAACAACAATTAATATAAAAGGGTGGCCTGATTAATGCTATCCTTTGTCCCATAAAGATTATCGCTCCGTTGAATCGCTGTCAAGGACACAAAACTTTGAAGCGGTTGTTCTTATAATTTTGATGGATAATATTTAATCACACTGCAATAATCCATAAAAAAAATAGATGGATAAGAAAAGCGATCAATACCTTTGCTTTTACTACCGTATTTTTCCATACTGCTTCCGGATCGACATCGCACTTTTTTTCATCCTTTGGCTGGGTTTGAGACTGGGTATGAATTATATATTAAACTATATAGTTTTACATGTTCGTTATTTTCACACAGACAGCCGCTAGAGGGCACTCTAGGATTGTGTACCAGTATCTGCTACTCCTGTACCACTGGAAATTGACATGTTTGTTATTTTCACACAGACAGCCGCTTGAGGGCACCCTAGGCTTGTGTACCAGTATCTGATACTCCTGTACTACTGAACATTTACAGGTTCATTATTTTCACACTGACAGGCGCTAGAGGGCACTCTAGCTGAAGACACCAAGCAGGAATTTTTTTCTTCTGATTAAAAAAAGGTCCAAAAAGAAATAAATTGTTCAGTATTGAACAAAACGTTTTCACTGTCACTATCACAGTTGACAATAAAGCAGTGGTGGCCTGGTGGTTAAAGAAGCAGACTGTGTCCGGGAAGGTTGTAGGTTTGACTCCACCAGTCACCAATGAGCATGGCACATGTATCTTAGGTGATTTGTTAAATAGTTGTTTTCGGTAACAGCCTGTCTTTGTCTCAGATGTTAAATTACCTTCAAACTTCTGACATTGTTGACCAACTGTAAGCTGGTTGTACTACAAGTATTTTCATGAAGTTTCAGTTTCATCCCTAATATCCCTAATAAAACATCTGTCTATTGTGGTTGACCTTCCCAAAAGGCTACCGAAGAAAAGAACAAGGACGTGTTTTCGGTAGGACGAACAACCTTGATGACTTTAGATGATATCGATATCCTTGACACACAGTCCTGAGGAACTTGTTATGAAGTCCCAGCTGCAATGGGATCATAAAACCTGAAGTGCTGAGATAAAGTCTGTTCAATTTAACAGATAAGATAAATCGGTAAAACTTTGCTCAGAACATGTTGGCTCCATAGATCACGTTTGAAAGCAAAAAAAGGAGTGGCTTCACATTGTTAAGATTTTCACACTGACCGACAGTCACAGTCAGTTTAGACCAGCCATGGCATGGACCATAAGTCTTCTGTGCATTACGTGGGCTTTGTCTGTCCAAAGTGCTCCCATAGACGAGCGTCGCCACAGAGTCCTGCTCGTCTCCTTTGACGGTTTCCGCTGGGATTATGACCGTGATGTGGACACACCGAATCTGGACAAAATGGCAGCGGATGGAGTCAAAGCCCAATACGTCACTCCACCATACCTCACCATCACAAGTCCAACACACTTTACTCTCTTAACAGGTAAGAACATTTCATTCCAAACGTGTGAGAAGAGTGTTAGTAGGGAATGGGAATGTTAAATGACTCCTACTGATTTTGTTTAATTTTATTTCATTGTGATCCAACAGCTTTGATAGTTGATAATGAACCTTATTTTAAATCATCATTTCAATTGTTGTCACAAACTTAAAGAAATGGAACCTCTTTGTAAAAATCTCTAAATGGCATGGCAAATGAGGACAAAAACAGACTTATACCAATACAGTCACGACTAATGGGGACAGAAACGATTACAGGGCAAGACTGCATAACAAAATGTATTTATTCCAACTAGTAATTATTCAAGACCAGTCTAATTGCAGGCCGAACCAAACTCAAAGAAGGATAAGACAAAACAATGCAAAAATAAGATTACCATATTTTCCGAACTATAAGTCGCACCAGCCAAAAAATGCATAATGAAGAAGAAAACAAACACGTATTGGTCGCTCCGGAGTATAAGTCGCACCGAACAGCTAGAGTGCTCTCTGGTGGCTGTCAGTGTGAAATTATATATTTTAATATATAAGTTGCACCTAAGTATAACTCGCGAAAACATAGCCAAACAATGAAAAAAAAGTGCGACTTAAAGTGCAGAAAGTTCAGTAGGTCGAAATCACAGTCTAGCTAACAACAGCTAAGATAAGTAACCATTCATGTTCTTTGACATAGACTCCAGCAGGATGAGACGTATTTTGGGCGAAAAAACAAACTTGGACTTAGACTAGGGCAACGTAAAGACCTCGGCTTAAAACTAAGACACAACCAACACCAAGGCAAAACAGGAGCAAGTCACCAGCATGATCTCACTCACATGGGTGACAACTGAGAACAAGATAAAAAAAATAAAGACAAAACCTGAAAATAGTAAATAAGGCAAGTCAACAACAAGTGAAAGGGAAATGTCACAATCGTATTAAGGTGGAGGAAGCATGAGACTCAGACCACTGCACCTTAGGGCTAAGTGAAGGCATTGGTCATATTTGCTCAGCGATCAAGGCATTAGCAGGGCATAGCAGAATTTGACATACTAAAGAAAAAGACAAGTAGTGAGATTAAGACAATGCAATAGAAGACCAAGGCAAGGCCTACCAAATTTATCCGGACTATAAGTCGCTGGGTTTGCGACTTATATATTTTTACACTGACAGCCACGTATGGGCACTCTAGGCTTGTGTACTAGTATCTGCTACTCCTGTACCACTGAAAATGTACATGTTCGTTATTTTAACCCGGACAGCCGCTAGAGGGCACTCTAGGCTTATGTACCAGTATCTGCTACTCCTGTAAATTTCACTTGTTTTCATCCATTGGCTGGTGCGACTTATACTCCGGAGCGTCTTATATATGTTTTTTTTTTTCCTTCTTTATTATGCATTATTTGGCTGGTGCATACCGGAAAATACATTATATGAGAATTTAGATAATTGAGGCAGACTGAGCCAGGTTTACGACAAAAAAAATCCAAACAACCAGCAACAACTTTAGAAAGCTCAATACGTCATCCACTCTAGCAACATGACCGAGAATCAGTATTGACGATATCTTTTCAGGCATTAGGCAAAGGCATTGTAAGAACGAGATAAAACCAAGTGAGGACATTGTCCTGACTTGTACCTACGTACATTGAAGCTCAGGCAGATTGAGATCAATTTAAGGCTAGTCATCCGGAATATTCCTGCAAACTTGCAATGTACAATCTGATATAAAGTCCTTTACAAAGGCATCATGCCTCTCATATGTTTTTTTTTTTAACTATAGGCCGCTACATTGAGAACCATGGTGTGATCCACAACATGTGGTTCAACACTACTACACAGGAGAAGAAGCCGTACTATCAAACTCAGTTTGTGAACCAGTGGTGGGACAATGGCAGTCTACCAATCTGGATTACAGCCCAGAGACAGGTCTGTTCAATACCTTTTGTTTTGTTCAGTGAGAGTCATCACTTCCTACTATTAATTTCA